ATTTTAATTTCACACTATGGTGGGTGTGTCCGTCGATAGGGGATGCTTACTTCTCCAAGGCACTCCAATTCGCCATTGAAAGTTCTCTGTTTGCTCTACAACCATTTTGTTCCAGCCAGCTTTCAGCTTCAATTCAAACTGTTTATTTATTGTGTTCAACCGTGTAAGACAAGCATGGTGGGATATCGGCGTAATCAGTACTCTAACTCTTGGGTGCTGCAAACTGTAAATATTTGATAACAAAAATAATGTTTTATAATCAATGATTCCAAAACAACATTAAGCAATAATCCAAAAGCTGAGGAAACGTCGTTTCCTTGAACAGGAAACAACACTTGCTTTTAATTACGGAAAAGTCACAAATAATAGAGCCACAAATTGCTGAAATATCTTTTTCCGTAAACAAACATTTATTTAAGCTTCTGCTTAAACTGACGTTTTACATGATTTGTCTTAGAAATAGAAATTATATTGTCTTCAAAGCCCAATGCCCCATACATACAAACACGTTGATTTAAATGTAGATATTTTAGTCGTATACTTTTTATGTGCATTCCCTGCTATTTGCATGTTTACAATTGTATATCACAACTTCTTGTATCAAGAAGCAGATTCGGTTTAAGTGACAAGTATGTACTAGCATTTTGCCCCATTACCCTACAAACACTACAGAATTCCAACAGATTAAATAAGCTATATTCCAGGCTCAAGGTCGCCTCTTCTGTTCTCATTAAATTCATACTTATCATAATGGGTTACACATATGTTAACAGAAAAAGAACATACTTATGTAATTTCACTGCGTTCGAATCTAAAAGCTAGTAATAGTGATTAAAGATTTGAACATAAAGATAAGTTAGTTCAGTATATAATCAATGATCTTCAATTCTTTATTTTTAGTACAGGAAAAAATTTTTGTTTTGTGATTTCAAAGTTGTTATTCATATTATGCACATCTCAGAAAAATTGTTACATCTATCAAATCGGTAGATATTCTTTTCAACTTTAGTTTTTTTTTTACTTTTCAAAGTATTTCACTGGGTTTCCAGATAGTGTATGCATAGTGTTAAAGAAGGGGGGTCTCGGGGGCTGGGGATATCCCTCCTCTTGGCAAGATTTTATTGTTATAACAGTGTATAACTGGGGTTCCTGTGTTCTTAAGAATCAATTTCCCACAAAAAATAAACAAAACAAGCAGCATGATTGACTAACTTGTTATTTTTAGGGTTTTTTGTCCCTGTAATCGGGGATTCGGGGGTATAATCTATGCTCTGATCCGCCCGTCTGTCTCTTTGTATGTTTGTCCACAAATATTTTAACCTTGCCTATAACTGATTGGTTTGAACTATGGTTTTTATACTTTACAAGTATTTCTTATGACAATGTTTTCCTTGGTAAGCAACGAATTTGATCTTAGAGTTGGGTGTACTTTTGAAAAAATTGTGCACTTTTTATCCTTGTCCATAAATTTTGAACAGTTAGTATTATGACCTTAATTCTTCATAAGTATATACCTTATGGAAAAAAACCCTTTCCTTGGCCAAAAATATATTTCACCTTTCCGCCTTGACCTTGTAGTTTGACCTCTTTTAAAAAAAATACATTAATCTTTTGATATTTTAGCTTCTTCTTTCGTATCATACATGTATATTCCAAGTGACAAGACCTTCCTTGGGTCATCAATAATCTGACCGATTAATTTTGATCTTAAAAAATTAACCTTGGCCATAACTTTTGCACGCTTAGTACTAGGCGTTTTATATTTCACGGGGTATTCCTTCCTTGTGACAAGACCTAGTTTTCCTTGGATACCAAGAATGTTGTCCCTTTTACTTTAATTAGAGTTTGACCAACTAAAAAAACAATTAACATTGGCCATATCTTCTGAACAGTTGGTCTTCATATTTCACAGGTATATGCCTTGTGAAATGACATTTTTTGTGGTAACATTTTTAAGGGCATGCAACAACATTTTTGATCTCTTAATGTTTATGTTTGACATGCAACTTTAACTTCAATATAAGCTGTCGTATAGGGGCATCGGTGTTTGTGAAACTCACCGTGTTTCTTTCTTCTTACCCTATATATTTTACTGGCGGCCCAATATATGAAAGAAAAAAAACGATGTCTTTTATTACAATTTTACTTAGTTATATTAAATCAATACATGAAAGAAAAAAAAAACTATAATTGTTATTATTAAAACAGTCGATATATCTCAATGTCGATTAATTGATTGATTGTATGTTGTTTAACGTTCCTCTCGAGAATTTTTCACTCTTGGAGACGCCACCACTTGCCGGTGGAGAGCTATAAATTTTGACCTATACTTGGCACTCAAAGCCATTAAAGGATCTTTTTGTGCCAGCACCTACTACGACACGGGACCTCAGTTTATAGGGCTGGTCTCTACGTCCCAGAGTCTGATTCGAACGAATCAACTCCTCACTTCGCGACTCTACAGCAGACGCTCTAACCACTGCGCCATGCTGGCGACTCTCAATGTCTTAAAGGTATTTTCACAAGAAATATGCCTTGAAAAATAAAATCACAGTTCCAACATTTCAAAATCTTAGTGCGAGTTTTCAAAATTAGGTCAAGCTTCAAGGTTAGGGTCAAAAGTTCATACTTCTTCCTGCACAAAGAAAGTCCTTGTTACAAAAAAAAAAAAAAAAAAAAAAACAGAAAAAAAAAACATTTTTTCATTGTATGAATCATTCAAAAGATAAGGCCAAGGCTAAAGTTTTTCAGGACGCCAAACCCACGGTCAAAAGGTCAGAACTATTGACATAATACAGCTGTAGAGGAAGTCCTGTCATAAAGAATACACAAGTCAAGTATGAAGACAAACACTAAGACCAAGGTCTGACTAAAATATTCAAGGAAAGGTTCTATACAAAAGATATAAATGTGAATTACGAAAGCCCTTCTGATCAAATCTTAAAGCCAAGGGTAAATTCAAAGGTCAAGGTCACTAGGCAAAATGTATTGGCACTCAAAGAAAGGTCTTGCAACAGGGACTTTTAAAATATAAAAGTCTTCGCTCTAACTAATCAAAAGTTATGGTGAAATTAAAAGGTTTTGCGGACAAACACAAAGACATATGAACAAAGCAAAATCTTTATCCCCCAAATCGTCGATAAAAGGAGCTGAAAAATACTGGTAACACATTTTTTATGTTTTTAACTTCCCTTGTTTTTAAGTCGTATTCATAAATCTCTCGCAGTGTCTTTTGAATAATGGCGTTGTCTTTGATGTTCAAGTGCTGTGGAATTTGGAACCTGTAACATAAGATCTTTAAATTAATGTTAAATACCCAGAGTCGATAACTCCACACAGGGTTTCTAATTAATACTCAGTCTTTAGGGTTATGAAGTTAAAATATTTAAATGTTACCAAAAGGTTTGCATTAACAGTACTTTAAATTTACATTAACAAGGTGATATATTAAGATTATTCTGACTATTAAATGTCATAAGAATTTCTATTTCTGTTTTCTATTTTTTTTAGGTCAACGCAGGTGACCTATTGCTATCCGTTTTCGTCCGTCGTCAGTCATCCCCCGTTTTCAACATTTTCAGCTTCTTCTCTGAAACCGCTGAACCAATTTCAACCAATTTCTGCATATACAGGTAGCAACTATGGGTGAAGGGGAACAAAAATTGTGAATTTTATGGTCCCTGTCCCCCTGGGGCCTGGGGGTGGGGCCAAAACCACTAAAATAAGTGCAATCTTTAAAAATCTTCTTTACTCCTGGACATCAAGCAGTCAAAGTGTTGGTATGATTGTAATCAGCATTGAGTCTTCTACCAAAATTGTGAAATTCATGGCCAAAGGGTCCGGGGTTCTAGTTATAGGGTGGGGATAAATACATTATATAGTGAAAATGCATTAATTCTTTAAAATTCTTCTTCTCTGCTCATGAGCATTAAATAAACTAACCAAGTGCATTAAGTTATGTTGAATAAGGCTGTCTCTTCCAGAATTGTGAATTTCATGGCCCCACGGTCTGGGATTCTAGTGCTAGGGCGGGGGTATAAAGGTTATACAGTGAAAATGAATTATTTCTTTGAAAATCGTTTTTTCTGCGCCTGGGTATTAAACCAATGAACTATATATACATAGTTCTGAGGAGAAAGGATGTCTCTTTGAGGTTTGTGAATTCTTGTGTTAAGGCAGGGCTCTAATGTTTATATAATGAAAATACACTGTACATGAATTCTTCCAAAATGGAGGTATTTGGAGTGGGAGTTACATAGTCTGAAAATAAATCAATGCTTTGAAATCTCACTTTGGTATTAATCAACAATTTTTGATGAAATAAAATTCATAAAAAAATTTCCAAAATTTTGAAATATTATGGCCCCAGGGTCGGTGGTTCCTGTGGGATGGGAATGCACAACTGGTTACAAAGTGGAAATGCATTTTCTCTTTGTTACTCTGATCTACCTCTGGGTATTAATAACCAAAGTTAGCATGCTAAGTGTAAAATTATGATAAGCAATGGTGCCTCTTTCAAAATTGTGATTTTCATGGCCTCTGGTTTAAAACACGAATCAAATTCAATTGTTAGAAAGTTGTTACGGGATACTCAGGTGACCTATAAGGCCTTTGGGCCTCTTGTTTGACAAGAGGACAAAAACAATGAGAATTCCAATTTGTTAATTGAAACTTAAGTTGTAGTTTTAAATTATATCATTCATCGTTTTTAAGACGGTCACCCCAGGAGATAAAATCAAGCATGGTCCTTCAATTTTATAAAATCACAAGTTTAAATCACATTGGCCTGCCGCCATTGATATTTTTATTTTACAGTTTTGTGCATTAAATGTTCACCACAAATGTTAAGTCATAAGTATGCATATCATCAACCTCTCAAAATGTTAAGAGATCAGAACAAGTATTAAAAAGGTTTTGAAAACATATCATAGATTCAAATAGAAAAAAATCATACAACTGTAACTATCAATCATAATTATACATTTCATTTTCTATTTCAGATGACTAACGCTTCAATACAGGACGGCCACGGCCTTAACTTGTATGGGGACTACCACGGAGACCTAAACTGGACATTATTTATCAGAGATATTGAAAAAGCCCACAATGTACACTCCTTGCCAATTGCCATTTTTGCCATAATTCTTACCTGTCTTTCTACACTGTTGAATTTTTGTCTCTGCTTTGTGATTTTGCTTATCAAGGAATTAAGGACTCAGCCATTGTACGCTTGTGTCTTCAACTTTTGTTTCATAAATCTCCTGATTGGTCTTTTCGTGAATTCCCTGGTGGTGTACCAGGAAATGACTCCAGGGTGGAAGCTGGGGACAGTGGTTTGTAAGACATGGATCGTCCTTGATGTCCTCTTACCATTCGTATCTTTAATGACTCTAATTCTAATGTCCATTGACAGATTTATATATGCTCGAATGAACTACTTATATAAATCAATAAAATTCAGACTTCAAAGAGAAGTATATGTAATTCTGCCGTGGATATTTGGCATTGCTGTTGTAATACCAGTGTGGATTGGAGGATTTAAGAGATCACCTATTGACGTTCAAGATATGTGTGTGTTTGGTCTAGTTGACGAAGCATCAGTAGCCTCGCCTATCCTCGTTTTTTTTCTTCCTGCTCTATTTTTAGTTTTGGTGATGATGTTAACAACTTTTTTCCCTTTTAATCAGAAATCAACCAAACACAGCCGAACACCAAACGCTCGATCGGTGAACACGAGGAGGAATTCGGGATATTACGCATATGAAAATAATTTTTCTGTTGTAACTTTATATCTGATAAGTGTGATATTTCTAATATTCTGGGCTCCATTTCATATGATGAACTTACTATTGGCAATATGTATTGCCTGTATGCCGCCCTACTCATTGATTATTGGTTTTACCTACATGGGAGCTACTGTAAGCTCCATTATATCTTTCTTTTGGTTGACGGACTTCCACATTCGATATTCATTGAAACACACCATCTGTGATCGGTTTCGGAAGCAGAATAATACACCATCAAATACTGTAGCGCTTACTCTTTTGGAAGAGTGATTATAATTATCATGATTTAACTCCCCACACCATAAAATATATACGTAAATAATATTTTGTATTAGATGTCATTTTTTAAAAACTCCCTCTATATCTACCTTGTGTTTTTTAAATAATTTTCAGTGTATAGGATCACGTGACACGTAGAGAAGGAAGGAACTACAGCTTTGAAAACTACCTAGGAAATTTACAATAAAAACATTTTCAAAATAATCAAAGCGTTGTATTATTTTTGGATTACATGAATTATTAAATATTTACTGAGACTTTTAAGTTTTAATAATCATCAAGAACAGGGTAAGAAAAAAAAGTTGCGTCGACGATCGATCGAGAGAGATTGATTCTACATTGCTTACCACCTATATAGGCATGTAAATCCCTTCATAAACAAGAGGCCCAAGGGCCTTATAGGTCACCTGAGTATCATTTAACAACTTTCCAACAATTGAATTTGATTTTGAGTTTTAAACCAGATGCCTTGAAATTCACAATTTTAAAAGAGGTATCATTGCTTATCATAACTATACACTCACTATACACTTAGCTTGCTTACTTTGTTACTTAATACCCAGAGATAGATCAAAGTAACAAAGAGAAAATGCAATTCCACTTTATAACCAGTTGTACACCCCGTCCCACAGGAACCACTGACCCTGGGGCCACATATTTCAAAATTTTGGAAATTTTAACATTAATTTTATATAATCATAAATTGTTGATTAATACAAAATTGCAGATTTCAAAACATTAATTTATTTTCAGACTACATGTATGTATCCCCTCCCTCCAAATACCCCTGACCCAGAGGCCCGGAAATTAACCATTTTGGAAGAGGCAGTTTTTTTTCATCATTAATATGTACTTAGATCATTGGCATAATACCCAGGAGCAAAGGAAAATATTTTCAAAGAATTCATGCATTTTCACTATATAAACATCAGAGCCCCCCTCCAACACAAGAACCCCTGACCCAGGGGCCCTGAAATTCATAAATCTCAAAGAGACATCCTTCCTCCTCATTACTATGTACATAGTGCATTGGTTTAATACCTAGGCGCAGAAAAGAAGATTTTAAATGAATTTATGCATTTCACTATATAATCAATAGAGCCCCATCCTAACACTAGAACCCCTGACCCGGGGGCCCTGAAATTCACAAATTTTGAAAGAGGCAGCCTTATTCAACATAACTATGTATTTGGTTAATATACTCGCCTATAAGTCGGTATTTTGGGTGAAAAATTTTAGCCTTAAAGTCTGTGTCCGACTTATAGGCGAGTCATAAAAAACTGGTATTTTTCTAGATGGCGAATCGTAGTATTCTATAAACATTTTCAACAGCTATCGTTGAACAAAGTATGGATACATTATATCATTTATGTATTATATGATTATACATAAATTACTTGCTTTTTACATACATGCATTCAATTATTTTATTTTTATTAATTAGAAGAGGGCATTATCTATATTTTTATGTTTTAAAGTTACACTCTGTAAATATTGACTTCATTTCTTTGAAATATTAATTGAAATCATGGTAAAACATCATGATATTCTTCAATTCTGACTCTTTTCCTGAATATTTTCATAAAAATACGGTTGATTTATAATTATAGTGTATGTGGATTTAACACTAAATTAAAGTATCCACACCATATGACATTATTACAGTTCATTTCTTCAATTGACTCTTGAATATTTTCAAAAAAATTTGGTGTATCAATTTGGAAAACTGTGCAACCTCATGACCCTCTGTACATGATTTCAAAATATGATAATTTCCATGTTTATCACTCTTTTCGAGACAAACTTTAAAGTCAAAATTCTAATTCAACATTATTAGTGAAATGGGTATCTTGAAGACAATAAATACACTGTGTTATAATTCAGACTTCGTTAGTAGTTTAAAACATCTTTGCGTTTAGAGATATCGCCTAAACCTTGACAAAAGTTATATCTGACACATTGTACATATAGAGCTGAACGCACTTTTTAAGCTCACATGGTTTTTGGCACAAATTAAGGTCACATTGTTGTAATTAAAATTACCATTTTCGAACTGCAGTACAATGACATAGCCCTTCGTTATATTACATAGATAGTGTCAAGCATAAATGTCTTTTAAAATATTATCTTAATTTCCAAAATTGATATTTTAAAGGGGAATTTATAAATAAATGGTAGGATGTTTCGACTATACGATTCTACCATAGGTTTTTACAAATTGTATAAAACGAGCTTTCCTTGAAACCATGTAGTTGAAAATTTAAAATTTTATTCTTCAAGGTGAGTATTTTTTCTAAAAATCTTTGCTCATTTAATTACCATACTTCTCTTGGTTTTGTCGAAATGTAGCGCCGAAAAGGGATAACATTGCAGAAGGAAACCACACTAAAGGGTAGGATAATGAAGTATTGTTTATTTTTTTGAATAGTAAATTCCTTCTATGAAAAGAAAAATTCTTCTGCATTTACGGTTTGAAACGCTAATTTTGCAGTGGGATGAATTCATGATTCTAGATTTTAGAAGTTGACTGAAAAATCCCACCTTATTAACATAGAAAGCAGTCAAACAGATGAAAATACTATTACCACCCCGAGTTAAAGAGTCAAAATGTACAGAAAATACAAGTTACAGTAGCTGTACTGTTCTCATGTCTACGTTTCTGCCAAGAGCTATTGCTTTCAAAAGAACGGATAAAAAGACAGCTGCAATTGGCAAGAAACCACAAAAATTCAAATGAGAATAATTGTTATTTTTCAGCCATGGATATATCAAAGTTCTACCAATTGATTTGTGTAAATTATGTTTCAGTGAATGAAATAAAGCTCAAATTTTGTAAACAAATACTTTTGAAATGTATTTTGTTGTCTCGACACACAATATTACATCATAACAATGTGACCTTAATTTGTGCGAAAAATCATGTGAGTTTAAAAAGTGCGTTGATCTTTACATGTAACATATCGAATCAAGCATGTTACACGAAGAGAGTGAAATGGCTATGATTTTTTAACTTATTTTCCTGATTATGCCCAAAGTGGACTTTACAGATTAGGTACACATTCATGAAGAGAGTTCAGTGTATATAATACAGAAATTAAAATCATATCTACTGTCCTTTTGATGAACCATTAAGACTTTCTCTCGGGGAATAGCCTAGGTGGATTGAAATGCTTTATTGAAAGTTGCATTTCGATCCAGTGTTTTCTCGGCCGTCCGCAATACACTCAATGCCGACGTTGGAGAAAACCTGGAGGTTTTCTCGGCCGTCCGTTCTTTATACGACGCGAACGGCCGAGAAAACATTGGATTGAAATTCAAATTTCAAACAGCATTTCAATCCACTTCTCAAAACAGAAATTCTTTACGCCTTTTCTTTGGAATGTTCTGTTAAATAAGTGTACTAGCTTCATCAACATTAAAGAAGAAGGTTCTTATTGCCTAAATTTCGTGGTTTAAAAGTTATATCTAACACATTGTACATATATATGTAACATATCATGTAAAGACATGTTACACGAAGAGAGTGAGAAGGCTATGATTTTTAAACATATTTATACCCCCCGCTTGAAAAGTGGGAGGGTATATAGTAATCGGTATTTCCGTCCGTCTGTACGTCCGTCTGTCCGTCTGTTACGCTTTGGGGTACCCATCTCTTATCCGCTACTCCTCTCATACCACTGAAGGAAATTTAATGAAACTTTCACAGAATCTTTATTAAATATTGCCATTGTGCACCTCCTATTTTACTTTTTTATTCTACACGTACCCGGTATTTTAGGTTTCCCATAGCAAAACATGGACATTACCATTTTATCCTTACCTATGACGTCACATATAGAAGTTTCTGGATAATATTTGATAGGACGAGTTATTCCTCTTTACACATTACCGTAAAACAATATATAGCAAAACATGGACATTATGTTAGGCGGGGGGTATCATTTAGTGAGCTCATTGCTCACAGTACCTCTAGTTTCCTGATTATGCCCAAAGTGGACTTTACAGAATAGTTACACATTCATGAAGAGAGTTGAATGTATATAATACAGAAATTCAAATCATGTATCTACTGTCCTTTTGATGAACCATTAAGAATTTCTCTCGGGGAATAGCCTAGGTGGATTGAAATGCTTTATTGAAAGTTGCATTTCGATCCAATGTTTTCTCGGCCGTCCGCAATACACTCAATGCCGACGTCGGAGAAAACCTGAAGGTTTTCTCGGCCGTCCACAATACACTCAATGCCGACGTCGGAGAAAACCTGGAGGTTTTCTCGGCCGTCCGCGCTTTATACGACGCGAACGGCCGAGAAAACATTGGATTGAAATTCAAATTTCAAACAGCATTTCAATCCACTTCTCAAAATAGAAATTCTTTTCGCCTTTTCTTTGGAATGTTCTATTAAATAAGTGTACTAGCTGGATTATACGGTCTAAACCGAAGGGGGACCGATCTCCACGTCCCACACTGACAGTCGGATTCGAACCCACGACGTAAGGATCAGCTCCTTACGTTCCGACTCAAGAGCCTTTATCACTGCACCATGCGGGCGACTTAATACGTAAGTAGCTATAAATACGTACGTAGCTATGTCTTCCTAACTACCAGAAAGTTATTGCGTGGACTCTGAGGTCCACGCAGAAAATATATAAGAAAGGTTAAACCGGATGCCATGGGCATACATCAGGCCACAAGCAACAAACTCGCTTGAATTTTTGACCCCCTAATATTGTAATGGTAAAGGGGCGTTTAAATAAACGCACAGAAGACCCAAAATAATGGAATGACATGACTACCCTTGGAATAGACCGGTCCAAGGGTATATAAAGCGAAGCATTAGGGAAATCAGGTATTCAGAAGGTTACGGCTGAATCAGAAGGCTGAACTAAGAAGATTGATTGTTGGAGAAAATCAAGAAGTTAAGGGTAAGAACAGAATAAGCACCAGTGACAGGTAAACCTAGGGAACTGATGTTAAGGTATAATCTTCACTCATTATTTGACAGACTACACCTCAAACTAGAGGCACTGTGAGCAATGAGCTCACGAAATGATACCCCCGCCTCCAATATGAATATAATAAGAGTGTCCATCTTTTGTTGTGGGAAACCCAAAATATGTGTCGGATCGAAAAAAAAGAATAGGAGGTACACAATGGCAATATGTAATAAAGATTCCGTGAAAGTTTCATCAAATTTCATTTAGTGGTATAGGAGGAGTTGCGGATAAGAGATGGGTACCCCAAATCGTAACAGACAGACGGACGGACGGACATAACGATTACTATATACCCTCCCGCTTTTCAAGCAGGGGGAATAATAATACAACACTTTAGCTGTAAGCCAGGCTAGCTTAGTGGGAGCTGCTGGCATTTATTTTATAACAATTCATAAGAAACAGGCATACATGTTCATTATAAATGTGTATGTGATCAATGAAGTACTGCAATGTTTTCTGTTAACTATTTGTTACATGCTATGCATTGTATCCCTATCAAAGACATTAAAAACCGCCCAGGAAAAAACCATATACGAGTAACTATGGAAAACCTGTGTCCGTCGCTATGTAAATAATGCCTCAAGGGAATGCCGGACGTGCATTCGAAGCAGTACTTGGTATGCATAAACACTATATATGTACATGTACAATAAAGCAATAACAAACTAGAGGTACTGTGAGCAATTAGCTCAATCAGTGATACCCCCCGCCTCCCATATGGTTATAATGGCAAAGTCCATGTTTTGCTGTGGCCGGGAAACCCAAAATATGTGTCGGATCAAAAAGTAAAATAAGAGGTCCACAATAGCAATATGTTTTAAAGATTCTGTGAAAGTTTCATTAAATTTCACACAGTGGTATAAGAGGAGTTGCAGATAAGAGATGGGTACCCCAAAGCGTAACAGACATACGGACGGACGTACAGAAAGACGGACGGCCGGCCGGACATATTGAAAACGGAAGAAAATTCGTTACTCATTCTTCTTTTACCTGCGAGAGTTCCAATTTGATATACATCATGACATGTTCAGGATGCAGCGAGCATTTTATTGACCAAACCGGGTCACCCTTAGGCACCGAATGACTGTCCATCGTCAACAGATTCGTCAAACCGAGTACTAGTGCACTGCCGTTAGCGGACACTTCAGAACATGTGCTGAAAACGTTTTTCCTAACTTTGCAGTGTTTCTTATATACAAGTTCTACAACAAGACTTCCGAAAAAGAACGTGAAACCAAGGAAAAACATTTTATTTCATTGTTTCAACCAAAGCTAAATGCCCTGTTATGATAGACAATTTATAATTTTCCCGCATTATTTGTCTAATTGTTAACGTAATAACGCAACATAATGACGTCATAATGAACTGTACTAAAGTGCAACACTATTTGACGTTACATCACGTCACAATATACTTTGAAATGTTTGTATCTATAGCAATATGTCTCCTGATGATGCAAATTTTTTTGTCATAGAATTTCATTCTGCTGGCATAAAAATCCAATTTTATTATTTCAAACAAAAATATTTTATTTAAAAAAAAATTATTTTAAACAAAATATATGAAATCATTTTTTACGTCAATGACATTCGAAATGTGCTAATTTTTGTAAAAAAAAAAAAAAGAAAAATTGATATTTTCTTCAAATGAAATATCACGTTGCTGCTATGATAGTACTACATGTAGATTTGAACTAGGTGGAGAAAATGTGCTTGTATTAAGTATAGGATTGGACTAGGTGGAGGGCAGGTGTCTTTTCTAAGTAAGATCGGAGGAGGTGGAGAGTCTGTGCCTGTAGTGAGTAGGAGGTGGAGAGTCTGTGCCTGTAGTGAGTAGGATCGAACGAGATGGAGGGTAAGTGCTTGTAGCAATTTAAAATCGAACTAGGTGGAGGGCCAGTGCCTGTAATAAGTAGGATCAGACTAGATGGAGGACCTGAGTCTTAAGTGAGAAGGATATGACAAGATGGAGGGCCTGTGTCTTTAACAAGTAGGATCGGACTAGATGGAGGACCCGTGTCTTTAACAAGTAGGATCAGACAATGTGGAGGTTCTGTGCCTGTAGTAAGTAGGATCAGACTAGGTGGAGGGCCTGTGTCTTTAACAAGTAGGATCAGACTAGGTGGAGGGCCTGTGTCTGTAGGGAGTAAGATCAGACTAGGTGGAGCGCCTGTCTTTAACAAGTAGGATCGGACTAGATGGAGGACCAGTGCCTGTAGTGAGTAGGATCAGACTAGGTGGAGGACCTGTGGCTTTAACAAGTAGGATCAGACTAGGTGGAGGGCCTGTGTCTTTAACAAGTAGGATCAGACTAGGTGGAGGGCCAGTGTCTGTACTGAGAAGGATCAATCTTGGTGGAGGGCCTGTGTCTGTCGTGAGTAAGATCGGTCTAGATGGAGGGCCTGTGTCTTAAACAAGTAGGATCAGACAAGGTGGAGGGCCTGTGTCTGTAGTGAGTAGGATCGGACTAGGTGGAGGGCCTGTGTCTTAAAAAAGTAGGATCAGACTAGGTGGAGGGCCTGTGTCTTTAACAAGTAGGATCAGACTAGGTGGAGGGACTGTGTCTTTAACAAGTAGGATCAGACTAGGTGGAGGGCCTGTCTTTAACAAGTAGGATCAGACTAGGTGAAGGGCAACAAGTAGGATCAGACTAGGTGGAGGGCCTGTGTCTGTTGTAGTAGATGTGGAGGGCCTGTCTTTAACAAGTAGGATCAGACTAGGTGAAGGGCCTGTGTCTGTAGTGAGTAGGATCAGACTAGGTGGAGAGTCTGTGTCTTAAAAAAATAGGATCAGACTAGATGAAGGTTCTGTGTCTTTAACAAGTAGGATCAGACTAGGTGGAGGGCCTGTGTCTTTAACAAGTAGGATCAGACTAGGTGGAGGGCCTGTGTCTGTAGTGAGTAGGATCAGACTAGGTGGAGGGCCTGTGTCTTTAACAAGTAGGATCAGACTAGGTGGAGGGCCTGTGTCTGTAGTGAGTAGGATCAGACTAGGTGGAGGGCCTGTGTCTTAAAAAAGTAGGATCAGACTAGGTGGAGGGCCTGTGTCTTTAACAAGTAGGATCAGACTAGGTGGAGGGCCTGTCTTTAACAAGTAGGATCAGACTAAGTGGAGGGCCTGTGTCTTTAACAAGTAGGATCAGACTAGGTGGAGGGCCTGTGTCTGTAGTGAGTAGGATCAGACTAGGTGGAGGGCCTGTGTCTTTAACAAGTAGGATCAGACTAGGTGGAGGGTCTGTGTCTGTAGTGAGTAGGATTAGACTAGGTGGAGGGCCTGTGTCTTTAACAAGTAGAATCAGACTTGGTGGAGGTTCTGTGCCTGTAGTAAGTAGGATCAGACCAGGTGGAGGTTCGGTGTCTTTAACAAGTAGGATCAGACTAGGTGGAGGGCCTGTGTCTGTTGTGAATAGGATCAGACTAGGTGGAGGGCCTGTCTTTAACAAGTAGGATCAGACTAGGTGGAGGGCCTGTGTCTGTAGGGAGTAGGACCAGACTAGGTGGAGGGCCTGTCTTTAACAGGTAGGATTAGACTAGATGGAGGACCTGTGCCTGTAGTGAGTAGTATCAGACTAGGTGGAGAGCCTGTGTCTTAAAAAAGTAGGATCAGACTAGGTGGAGGGCCTGTGTCTTTAACAAGTAGGATCAGACTAGGTGGAGGGCCTGTGTCTGTAGTGAGTAGGATCAGACTAGGTGGAGGGCCTGTGTCTGTAGGGAGTAGGATTAGACTAGGTGGAGGGCCTGTCTTTAATAAGTAGGATCAGACTAGGTGGAGGGCCTGTGTCTGTAGTGAGTAGAATCAGACTACGTGGAGGGCCTGTGTCTTTAACAAGATCGATCAGACTTGGTGGAGGTTCTGTGCCTGTAGTAAGTAGGATCAGAGTAGGTGGAGGTTCTGTGTCTTTAACAAGTAGGATCAGACTAGATGGAGGACCAGTGCCTGTAGTGAGTAGGATCAGACTAGATGGAGGACCTGTGGCTTTAACAAGTAGGATCAGACTAGATGGAGGACCAGTGCCTGTAGTGAGTAGGATCAGACTAGGTGGAGGACCTGTGGCTTTAACAAGTAGGATCAGACTAGGTGGAGGTTCTGTGCCTGTAGTGAGTAGGATCGGTCTAGGTAGAGGTTCTGTGCCACCTGTCACAAAAAAATAAATGATTTTTATCAATTATTCCAAACAAATAGTTACTCAAACATTTCTTACATGCAATAACAAGCCTATTCTTTAATGTCAATATTGCTTAACAAAGTAATACCATAAATCATATCAATCCTATTTTGAGACATTTCCTATTAATTGTTTTGTTCTATGCTTTGTGGTCATTGGAATGCACTGCGTTTAAAACAGTTACTAAATATCGCGTTAAGTGGATGCATATACATGTAAGAAATAAAAATCACACTACAAGGTTTAATTTTCTGCAGTCATACTTTAGTTTAAAGTGATTGGTCACATTTTGTACACATTAGGATTACTTGCCTATTACCGTGATAAATAGCCTTTGATTTCTTTACGTCCTGTAACAGGTGTGTCGCTCAGTCCAGTTGTTACACTACCTGTTTCAAGGATTTGTTTAAAACTCAAGATAGGTAAGTTTCCTTAATTTGAGATCAAATTATGTTAATTTTTTTTCTTGAATAAAAAATCCATTTAAACTTAAAAGCTTACTTACAAGTGCATTTCTAAAGCGTTCGTCGTCTGACTAGGGAGCCATAAAACATAGCTGACTTCTGATCTCAGAATCACTGTTACCAAATAAATCAATATAGGTTTATAATTAATAATTTCTCTCTTGATTACATCTTGACACATGATTTAAACAAGAGGAATATAAAATAAATGATTAAAAAATAAAAATAAAAAATGGTTCATATTGAAAAGTATATATGCAAATATATAGAAAAGATAAAATTAATAGATTTTTTTCATCAACTTTTTTTTGGTCTTCAAATGAATTTGATAATTCTACAAAAATTTTAGGGTGGCATTTTCAACCATGTCAAAATAAAAGATAAATATACTGCGTTATTATCTTGAACACAGAATCTCTTCATTCATTACTGTTTAGGAATGAAAGTACTGAAAACATACAACGTATTTTAATACACAGTATGTCCCAAATAAAAAGAATCGAGTTCATTGTTATAAAAATAAAGTAATTCTTTTATGCAAACTCTCTTGTCTTTCTTTTCTACTGAAAATTTCCATATATAACAATTATTTAAAACTTATTACATATTCATGTAAAAAAATATGCGTGCTGAGAAATTAACAAATTTGTAGAATGCTACATGTGTCTGCCTTGGCAAGTGGGTGTTTCGTGCTATTTCTTAGTGGGGAAATTTGATTTAAAAAATGTTAACAGAATATTTAAATTTTCTCTAGTGTTCTATGTAAAATTTGGATGTCTTTACATTTCGATGAGAGCCAATACCGAAAGAGTCTGAGAAGCCGCCATTTTTTGTCTGTTGTTAATTTACACAAAGAACATGTACAGTAGTTACGTTTGTAAAACACGTACCGATTGACAGACATCGTAATGGTGACGAACGAAGCAATTATGTGTTCATGTTACGACTGAATCAAACGGTATAGAATTATTAAAACATGCCAAAAGGATTTTCTCTAAGAATATTAAAGAAATGTATCATAAGGCAGTATTAATTTTCTTTTATAGCCTAAAAAATAAAATTTTAAATTTGTCACAAATACGAGTTTGCTGATGAAAATATTCACGTGCTTTGCACATGTTATCGATATTGGTTTTAGATATAGAAAATTTCTCCCTGCTTTCACTGCAAATGGGGGATATTATACAATTATGGACTTCAGGGTAGGTCGATATGTGGTTATAAGGACTCATGGCAATTGATATTGACCGAAGACACAGAAAGTTAGCGAATATTTAAATTTTCTTGACCGTTCACTGAAGTTGTTATATTACATAATAATTCAAAGTGAATGCAACACAGTCATACCTATCACAATGGTTACAAAGTTACGTTTGTAAAACACGTACCGATTGACAGACATCGTAATGGTGACGAACGAAGCGATTATGTGTTCATGTTACGACTGAATCAAACGACTGCATTCAGAATTATTAAAACCCAAAAGGATTTTTAAAGAATATTAAAGAAATGTATCATAAGGCAGTATTAATTTTCTTTTATAGCCTAAAAAATAGATTTTTGATCTTGTCCTCTCGCACAGTTTTTAATACGAGTTTGTCAAAATTACGTGCATCCGCACATGTTACGATATTGGTTTTATCTATATAGAGTAATTGTCCCCTACTTTCACTGCAAGTGGGGGATATTATACAATTATGGACTTCAGGGTAGGTCGATATGTGGTTATAAGGACACTGAAGTCCATGATAGTTATATTACATAATAATTCAAAGTGAATGCACCGACACAGTCATACCTGGCTGTCATTATGTCACAATGGTTAAAAATACGCTTCTTATATTATGACGTCACGTTCTACGTAACTTCAGTGCAGCGCTGTGTCGTACGATATCATTTTCCGTCGACGCACTTTCGCGTCTATATCACAAAAGGAGGAATATCACTTGACGTCCTTTCAGCCAATGAAATTACGAAAATCATCCTCTTTATATTATATTAATTTGTGTCTGTCCGACCGTCCGTCCGTCCCTCTGTCTGTAACGCTTTCGTTTCCGCATGATATCTCAAAAACCCTTTGAGCTTTCGCAAAGAAATTTTGAAATTTTGCATAGCAACTTTCTATGGCCTAAAGAAGAACCCTATCGATTTTGAGGGCCAAAGGTCAAGGTTATAAATTAATTGATTCTGTCTGTTTTAAATTTAATTTTTCTTAACCGCGCGATATCTCGAAACTCCTTTGAGCTCTTGCAATGAAATTTTACATAACAGCTCCCCGTGGCCTAAGGAAGATCCCTATTGATTTTGAGGTCAAAAGGTCAAAGTTCAAGGTCGTAAATTTATATATTCCGTCTGTGTGTAACACTATCGTTTCCTTTCGATATTTCAAGAAAATTTTTAGGTTTTGCAATGAAAATTTTCCCAAAACTCCCTAGAGCCTCCCTCACCCCTCTCAAAGTGTCTCTTCCCCCCTTTTTTTATTATTTATTGTATTAAATGTCGCTTGGCACTATTTTTAGCACAGAGGCATGTGGAGAGTTATTGTCCCCCGCTTGAAAAGTGGGGGATATTAATTTGGGTCTGTCCGTCCGTCCGTCACTCTGTCTGTCTGTAACGCTTTCGTTTCCACACGATATCTCGGGAACCCTTTGAGCTTTCGCAATGAAATTTTGCACAGCAAATGGTTATGGACTAAAAAAGAACCCTATTGATTTTGAGATCAAAAGGTCAAAGGTCAAGGTCATAAATTCACAAATTCTGTCTGTTATAACACTTTCGTTTCCGCGCGATATATCTTTCAATGAAATTTTACATAACAACTCCCTGTGGCCTATGGAAGACCCCTGTCGATTTTGAGGTCAAAAGGTCAAAGTTCAAGGTCGTAAATTCATACATTCTGTTTGTGTGTAACACTATCCTTTCCGGGCGATATTTCAAGAGGATTTTGAGCTTTTGCAATGTAATTTTATACCAAAATTCCCTAGGACCTCTCTCACCCCTCTCAAAGTGTCCCGCCCCGTTTGCTTTATCAGTATTACATGTCGCTATTTTTAGCACAGGGCATGAGGAGAGTTATTACGTATAAAACAGGTTCTCGGCGGACTTTATATTCTTATTATTTCTATTAGAACTGTTTAATAAAGGTTAAATTAGACACCATGCATTGTGTAAAATTTTGACAATATCGAACGTGAATATATATACAGGTATGTGACTTTATCTTAGCATATAATTTTCGTCGATCCATTTTCTTTTTTTTCCCGAAATATTTTTTTTTTACTAAATGATAGTATTCAGCGTGTGAAATGAAAAAAATTATGAGGTCTGGCTTGTACAAACTCATAAAATCATCATTACAGTGTGATAAATATTCCATGTAAAAAGAATCTTCTATACACATAATAAAGAATAAGCAACCAAATCTTTATACTGTATTCATATTAGCATATTTTATTTGCTTCAGTATACATGTATACATTAAATAATTCTACAAATTCAGTCAGGGGGATCCGACTCCTCCCCCCTCCCCGAACTGCGCATGGTTTACTTTTCCCTAAGCGGGGGACACAAATTCTCTGAATTAGCTTGTTAAAAATTATGTTAACCCCCGTCGTCTCCATAACTTCAGTACTTAACAGAATGACTTTGAATAAAAAAAAACTCTATAATTGATTGGTCCAGTAACCAACCAATTGACACCCCATTCAGAAAGATCTCGCAAAGGTGGAGTGTTACACCAGAGGCGATTTAGTGAACACCAAATCGTCAGTAGAGAAAACCAAATACTAGTAATATATACATGTGTCAAATCCTTTATGGCCAGAAACATGCATGCCAACAATAAAAGGAATCAGAAACATTTAGTGATATTTTCACCATCGATATGTCTTTTTAATTTAGTTTTATATTCATTGTCATATCCAGATATCACATGAATAACTTACAGTAAATAAAATTTGCAACCCATACATGAATAATCATGTAGGTTTATACCATATACACAGTCTTTTTAATTACCAATAAAAGTTGCAAAACAATTTTAACTGAAAATCTGATATATACATACAATGTTTAAGTAGAAATAGCAATCGCACTTGGCACTTAATTTTAGTGGTTCAATAGCTCTATTCTCAGCGTAAACGTTTTGTATGCGTTGCAAATTTCTATGGTTTATTTCGTGATTATTAATGAACAGATATGCTTCTTTGGAAGATTAATTTTTCAAGAATGTTCAAAATCATAATTAAAAATTATTGGTTGTGATTTAGTTTGAATCTAACCAACCAGTACCATAAATTTTGGCGATAATAGTAATGCCAGACTTAAAGCACTATTGCTTTTTTAATAATGTTTTCGTATATAAAGTTTTCTACGACGCATACTTGTCGAAATGTCGTAAAGCAGAAAAATAAAAAAAAAAAAGAAAGAGAGGGTACGAAAGATGGAGAGAGTGGAGTGAAAGAAAATATGCTGGGAGAGGGAGACATAGGATAGGGTTAAACGAAAGGGAAACTTTACCCTTTCTATTTAGCAGCCCTATGCCCACGTCTCCTCGACTCCCTACTCCTGATTGGAGTGGGGAGAAGATAACTCTCTCATACTCCCGTCTTGAGAGTGAGTAGAGAGTGAGTGGGGAGAGAAAAAGTGAGTTGATAGAGAAAGAGTGTAGTGGGGTGAGAAAGTTTGGAGTGGGGTGAGAAGAGGGGAGTTGGTGAAAGAGTGGGATAAGAGAGAAAGAGAAAGTAGGGTGAAAGAGAAAGTGGGGTGAGAGACAAAGTGGGGTGGGATGAGAGAGAGAAAGTGGGGTGAGAGAGATTGGGGTAAGTGAGAGACAGTGGGATGAGAGAGGGTGGGAGGGGGATAGAGGAGAGACGGGAACAGTGTGAGCGGGAAGAGAGAGTGGGTGGGGAGGTGAGGTTTGCATAAAAATGGTAAAAGTAATAAATTTTTAAGTAAAAACAAAACAAATAAGTACTGATCAAAATCTGAAAAGGGGTGGGTGGTGGTTGAACCGGAGACCCCCAAAAACAAAAACTTAAGGTCAAACGACACTTTCCTCAAATATATGTTTTGTATCTCTTGGTATTATAAAAAAAAATCATATTTGTCATTTTCTTCTGATTTCTATATTGTTTTTAAAATGTTTTTAAATATAAGTACACCAAAAATTGTGTTATATGTAAAGATTACCCATACGGATAATGTAATATGACCCTATGGTAAATTTAAGGTAAACTAATTTTTTGTGAGGAAACTTGTTTCAGTACCTCTACTTGTAAAAACAAAACAATATATTTTGGAAGTCTGACCTTAATTGTCTTTTTCCCTGGCGTTAAGAGTTCGAATACTTCAGTAAAGCCTGCGACTGTGTGCTACATTTTAATGTCTATTTTTTCTGTTGTACACTTATTCCAAAACAAGGTTGGATTTTTGTATATTTTACTTTTAACTACACAGGAATTTTCATCGATTGACGTGGGGGACAATGTCTTTCCTCAAATATATGTTTTGTATCTTTGAATTTTTGCAATGAATGGTATTATAAAAAAATAAATCATATTTGTCATTTTCTTAATTTTGAGCTGATTTTTAAACTATATTGTTTTTAAAATGTTTTTAAATATAAGTACACAAAAAATTGTGTTATCTGTCTGTAACACTTTCATTTCCAATTTCATTCCCGATATCTTGAGAAGCATTTGAACTTATGTGGCTATTTTTTTTTATGACAACTCCCTATGGCCTAAAGAAGACGCCTATTGATTTTGAAGTCAAAAGGTATGGTAGAGAGTAAACTAGACGCACTTGTTTTTTTTTTCTTTTGTAAAATGTGACAATGTAGAACGTGATGTAAACATATGTATGTGACCTATTGTTTGGATTTGATTGGATAAGTTCGTCGATGGCCGATGGGAAAGATTTTCGCTTCTCATGCGAAAGACCCCCGGTTCGAATTCCGATTGAGCCCTTTTTTAATTACTACATGATAGTATTTAGCATCTGAAATGAAGAAGCTATGACGCATGACGTGTACAAACTATTATTATTGTGTGATAAATATTTATGTTAAAAGAACCTTTTAAAGAATAAGCAGTCAAATCTTTGTATCCATATTTTCATTTTTTGTTTGCTTCAGTACATAATTCAATAACTATGCAAATCCGTGGAAGTAGTGAGGGGTCTGAGCATCCTCTCCTTTTTTCCTCCAGCGGGGTATATCCTTGGGTGAAGGGAATTCAAATTTGTTCAAATGAAGGTCCATACCCTCTTCCAAGGGCAGATAACTATGAATTAGTGGTAAATTAATGGTATCTATTAAAAATCTTCAATCTCAAGAACAAGTGGGCCAGGAAAGATGAAACTCGTGTTGTGTAGATTCAAATTTCTTCAAATCATGACCCCCGGGGGTAGGGTACGGCCACAATGGGAGATCAAAGTTTAACATAAGGATACATGGAAAAATCTTTAAAAAATCTTTGCAAGAACCACTAGACCGTGAAAGATGAAACTCATGTAGAAGCATCCTCTGGTAGTAAATATTTAAGTGTGTACAAATCATGACCCCCAGATTTTTGCTTTTACCTAGCTAGTTGCTCAGGTGAACGATGTAGCCCCTTGGCCTCTTTTTTTTTTTAAATATCAAAGATAAAAATTATCAGGTGTTAGAATTATTATCTTTTTGATAAAATAATGGAAGTTTGTGGTTGATTTGGCTTGCTAAGTAGAGGAGTCTGTCAGTGTTACGATAATCAGTTTGTGATGCATCAAATGTAGCTTAAAAATTTTTTTCTACATGAGAGTGAAAAATGTTTATAGACTTGTTTAATTTTTTTTTTTTACAAATTATTTGTATTGCTAAGCATCAGAAATTTAATTTAATCATGTCATGTTACGTTATATATATGGCATGTTATGTTACATGTCTGTATGACATGTATTACGTAACATGTATTTCAATCATTAATGAAAAGAATTGTGACTTAATTATCTTTTCCAACAATTTTTTTCTCTCCTATTAAAAGTCAAAACTTGAAATACACATAAAGAAACTCAATTCTAGCGAATTTAGAGCCAATAGTAGAAAAGTGAGACTGAGATCAATGGTGGGCTAATCTAAGTGGTTTATAGGCCCCGGAGAATGGAATATAAATTGCCTACAATTATACAATAATTATAGTTTATAGGTGTCTTCATGTAGTTTAGCTTAGATGTTTTTAAGCCATTGTTTGTAAGTCTAAAATGAAGCACCAATTGCATTTTGATATACATGTATCTATGTTACAGAATCACTTGAATATCATATAATAATTCCGGATCAGATAGGTCTACAAAATTGTTTTAGTTTTATCAGGAAAAGCATATGCTTTCTCAAAATGAACAAGGCTATTATCAGAATGAAAACAATTTAATCCTATTAAAGGTCTATAAAACAAAATATTGGACAAATCCAATTCATTTATTGACAACATCGTGTATGAGTGAATAAGTCTCTAGGAGTCTGCAATTTTATTTTTATATTGGAACAGGTACAATTCCGTTGGAATGCATGTATTTATAAATTAGAGACCGATCACCGATAATGGTTTTGGCTGATACAGCTTTGACAGTCTGTATTTTCCTCCTGAAATTAATCCTGCTTTGTTCAAGTGATCTATCTGTGGATGACATTGTGTCTAAAGCTATTGATAATGGCTACAGAAATATGAAGTTTGAAAGAACGTGCTCAAATACAGACGATCAGCGTAAGTTTAACTGTCTTTTTTCAGATAACATAAATGTTAATTTAGTATCAATTAAACAAACCCCTTTAAAAAGATTGTGGTTAACGGTAACATTAACATAATTAAAGGTTCATTGATACTCTGGTAAGAGAGATAACTCTTAATGACCTAAATGCTTTCTTTTTCCTTTAGAGATTTATCAATTCGAAGTGTCTTTTTGGTTCAATTTTGCCCCGCAAGTTACGCTATAATTGTTTGTATTTTATTATAAAATGCATTTCTTTTGGAGAATTTGATTGAGCAAATGGTTTATGAACCTTATCATTAATTGTTTATTTTTTATGAATCCTTTTCAGTCTATGGTCATACTTAATTGTTGACTCTGTGTTATTCAGAACTCCCAAGAGACGAGAGTAAATTATTTGACTTTATAAGAAAACAGAAGGCTTTTGAGGAAAACACATCAAACGCGGGAAGGCTATATATAGAAGTCAACAAAGAGCTAGTAAGGCTGTACGTCATTTTACTCCGACATATTAGCTCATGTTTAAAAGTTGTAATCTGAGGATTTTTAGAAATAAGTTGAAACTTTTTCAAACTTAAGTTTGTATTGTCATCCAAACAATATTAAAAAATATCTATATTCAATAAATTATGACTTTTTTGAATTACAGATCAGGTAAAAGCATTCATCAGCTGATTAGATCAAAGGCGTATCGTGAGTCCTTTGGAAAACAATTTTGTCGTCGTACATCGTTACGATGTGAAATATACGTTAATTCGCCATATCGCTCAGCAGACGGCAGATGTAACAACATCCGGTACCCTACACTTGGATCAAAGGGAGCAATACAATCACGATATCTTCCTCCTCAATATGACGACGGTAAATTTCAATAACATCCATTAGAATATCACTCTGCATGTCTGATATTTTATTACAGAAGAAAAATCTCGTCTCGGTGTATATTTTCGCCATTGACAATATGTACCGATGGACGATATGTGAAGCGAGTGTAGATACTTGTTGCTGCATCTCTAAAAAATACATTCTTTATAAATCTGCACTAAAAAGTACATTCTTTATAAATCTGCACTAAAAAGTTTAACATTTGCAATATATAACTAAGGAGTCATACAAAAATTATGATCCGACCACTGAGTGAGATATTGGACTGCTTACGTCACACTGTGGGCGCATCGGTTAAATCTCGTTTGCATTCGTTGGTGTTCGACATTGTCGGAATTTACCGAGTTTTACAACAATAGTGTACGAAAAGAAAAATTTATCGTGGAAGGCAGCACAAGATATAAGAGTATTGATTAAAATTGAAAGGTACAACGAAACATATATTGACTGTGTGCTCGGACAAAAGCGGTCTGTCAATCCCTAGAACCACACTGTTTGCCTAAGGCATTTTGGACTCAGGCAAAAAGTTCGACAGATTCTTTGGTCCGACAAAAGACATGTTGCCCTCGATACCAGTTTATAATACATGTTATCCCAGTTTATAAAATGTATTTTGTCGCACATGACAATATGCACAGAGCTACGAAATGAACCGCACAGATATTCTACATATTGATTAAGAGAAGATTAAAAAATCAGAAAAAGGTTCTTACATCTTGATTTTGTAGGTATAACGAAACCCCGAGAAAGGTCGGGAACTGGAAAGGCATTATTGAGTCCTCGCATAATAAGTAACGAGGTGTTTCGAGGTTTAGGAACAAAAGAGATCACACCCAAAGATAATAGTCTATCCCTGATGACCTTTACATGGGGTCAGTTCATCGACCATGACATTGTACTAACCCCTGTTGCAACAAGTAAGTAATTAATACATATGTATTGTTATACCCTTATAAATATTGTTCTACATGTGTATATCTATTGCTAATAAAAATCCAACGAGAGAAATGTCGGTCTAACAATTAGTACGAGGGGTAATCAAAAAGTTCGCGAACAACTTGAATAAATTCCAAAAAACAAATAAAATTTTGTTTCAGTGTTCATTATTTTTAGCTCACCTGAGCCGAAGGCTCAAGTGAGCTTTTCTGATCAAAATTTGTCCGTGGCGTGCCACAAAGTATTCTTAGGTAAAGGGGATTCAAGTTTGTTCAAATGAAGGGCCATGCCCTCTTCCAAGGGGAGATAATTATGACTTTGTGAAAAATTAATGGCATTTCTAAAAAATCTTCTTCTCAAGAACCACTGGACCAGGAAAGATGAAACTCATGTGGAATCATCCTCTGGTAGTGTAGATTCAAGTTTGTTCAAATCATGACCCCCGAGGGTAGGGTGGGGCCACAATGGCCGATCAAATTTTAATTAAGAATATAAAGGAAAAATCTTTAAATATCTTCTTCTAAGAATCACTGGGCCAGGAAAGATGAAACTCATGTGTGAAATCATCCTCAGGTAGTGTAGATTCAAGTTTGTTCAAATCATAACACCCGGGTGTAGGATGGGGCCACAATGGCCGATCAAAGTTTTACATAGGAATATATAGAAAAAATCTTTAAAATTTTTTTCTCAAGAACCATTGAGACAGGAAAGACAAACTCATGTGAAATCATCCTCCAGTAGTGTAGATTCAAGATTGTTCAAATCATGACCCGCGGGGGTTGGGTGGGGCCGCAATGGTCGATCCAAGTTTTACATAGGAATATATAGGGAAAATCGTTAACAATCTTCTTCTCAAGAACCATTGAGACAGGAAAGATGAAACTCATGTGAAATCATCCTCAGGTGGTGTAAATTCAAGTCTGTTCAAATCATGACCCCCGGGGGTAGGGTGGGGCCACAATGGGCGATCAAAATTTCACATAGGAATATATATGAAAAATCTTTAAGAATCTTCTTCTCAAGAACCATTGAGAGAGGAAAGATGAAACTTATGATGAATCATCTTCAGGTAGTGTAAATTAAAATTTGCTCAAATCATGACCCCTGGGGTTAGGGCGAGGCCACAATGGCCAATCAAAGTTTTACATAGGAATATGTAGGGAAATCTTTTAAAATCTTCTTCTCAAGTACTGCGAAGCCATGATTAGTGATATTTATATAGAAGCATCATCAGGTAGTGTAGATTTTAGTTTATTCAAATCATAGCCCCCCAGGATAGGGTGGGGCCAGAATGGGGTATCCAAGTTTTACATTAAAATATATTTTTTTAAAAAATGTTCTTCTCAAGAAGAGCAAATCCATGATTAGTGATATTTATATAGAAGCATCCTCAGGTAATATATTTGTTCAAATCATAACCTGCAAGGGTAGGGTTGGGTCTCAATGGTGGATTTAAGTTTTATAGTAGGAAAATACACGGAAAAATCCCAAGAACAGAAAAGTTATGTTTAGTCATATTGACATGTAAGCATCTTCATGTATTGAAGATTCAAATTTGTCCAAATTATGACCCTTTGGGGTAGGGAGGGAAACAACGGGGAATCAAATTCAAATTATAACTAAGTAATATATACAAACAAAATGTAAAAAAAATCTTTAAAAACCTTTTTCTACAGAACAGCAAAGTTATATGCTGTATTGATATGGAGGCATTCTCAAGAAGTATTAAAATTCAAGCCCCCCCCCCCCCCGTAAACTTTTCAATT